AGACAGACAGACAGACAGACAGAGAGAGACAGACAAACAGAGACAGAGACAGACAGACAGACAGACAGAGACAGACAGACAGAGAGAGAGAGAGAGAGAGACATATTTTCTTAAAGCTGCATAACGTTGTTGTAGCTGATTCAATAACGTGATAGGTCCAGATAAAAACCTTGTTCTAGCGCAGACTGTGGTGGTGTCGGGGTCTGGTCCTGGTCCTGATCTTGGCAGGAAGTCATCTTTGAAACAGCAGCCTGAACACACGCCAGCTGTTTGCGATGAGCTCTGACAGAACTGTCCAGAACCTGTCTGTCCCACAGCACCGAGACAACAACCATTAAACACTTACGAATTAAACCATTAACACTTCCAAATGTCCTGTTCCGAGGACGACGCGTTCATTGTTCATTGGGTTTTAAGGAAAATGTGAAAATATAACCAAAGTTGTTTTGCTGCTCCATGAGAATAATAGTGGTCCAAGTGGTACACATACCTGAGGTTCTTGATTTCTTTCCGCATCACAGAAACCTGCTGGTTCAGTTTATTCATGTTCTCACGGCAGCAGCCGCACGGCGGACTCATTTTACTGATTTAACGGAGAAAAATAGCTGAACACAGCTCTGACTTTGTTAGCTTTTAGCTGCTCCTGATCTGCGGAGACGCTTTCACCCGGAAGTGTCTCCGAACGGAATATTGTTGGCCAACCAGAACTTTTCCTGCGACAGACACGCTGTTAATCTGAGGGCAACTTTGTTTATCACGTTTACATTACACGAAGTTTTTAATAACTATTTTTACTACTATCACACTTTAATTAGTAAAATATGACGCGAAATAGTTTGATGAATTTCCATATTTAAAAAAACTTTTAATACCTATTTTTACCATCATCACACTTTAATTAGTAAAATAAGACGCGAAATAGTTTGATGAATTTCCATATTTAAAAAACTTACATGTTTTTTAACAGCAGGGGGCAGCAGAGGTATTCCTCCACTGGAGGAAGAAGAAGAAGATTCGCTTTCTCTATCATCTCTCTCTCTCTTTATCTCTGTTTATCTCTCTCTTTATCTCTTTCTCTCTCTCTCTTTCTCTCTCATCTCTCTCTCTCTTTCTCTCTGTTTATCTCTCTCTCTTTTCTCTCATCTCTCTCTCTTTCTCTCTGTTTATCTCTCTCTCTTTTCTCTCATCTCTCTCTCT